GAGACACATTAAGTGTTGGGGGTTCAGTGGAAAAAAAAAGTCTCCATAGGTGTTGTAGGAACCCTCCCGAAGTTTTGGGGCATCTTGTGTAATTTACCTACACTATGAAAAATAGTATCATAGTTGGTTGTGTTTTGGTAGAAAATAAACCATTTAAACATGTGCCAAACCTTAACTTATAAGTTGGATTCCCCCCTTTAATATAGTTCCATGCTTTATTTTTAGTAAACTTCCAAATTCTTTAAATTAATGCATAAACATGTGTATTGGTTTAATCTGCAATTCCGGGTGACAGTGGAATTGCTCTTGTTGTTATGTGCTTTCTTGCATCTCTTTGACCATAGATATTACGTTTTATATGTTTCAGAGGGCTTGTGATATGATAGACTTGCTGATTCCTGTTTGTCTATGCAGGCGGGGAGCACTGGTGCTGCGCGAGCTAGAATAAGAAAGGTTTATAATATCCATGAATAAGCTTACATGTTGCTTGTGGTCTCTCTTCATACTCATGAACATTGTGATATGGATTTTTCTTAACCTGTATGAGTATATGCACTGGTTCACAGATATTCATCTTGTAGATGTGGCTTTTGGTGTTTCTTTCATTTACCTTCCTTTTTCCCTCTTTGCATATTTGTATAATTTGTGTCCTCGTTTCTTCTGTAATCTATACAAATCTGGCTTACTTCTTATTTGTGTACTTTGTAGGAAGGTGAAGCAAGAAAAATTATACGTGATATATTTCTTGCTAATGTGCCGGTAAATTTCTGTGAAATTCATGTCCTTCCTTGACTGTTTTTCGATTTCCAATTTTAAATTTCATAATCTCATAACTCTTCCAGGTTAGTCATGGTAATTTTCGACCGAAATGTATCTATGCTGCGGTTATGCTGAGACGAATGATGGATGCAATTCTAAACTCAGACACCATGGATGATAAGGTCATGACAGATCAAATGCTAATGCATCTATTTGATTATTTAATCTCATTTTATCTTGGTCTGTTCTTGTAAAAAGTGACATGGTTTTCAGATAGTTTAAACGACAGTCAATTTAGGACCGTAATTTAGGCGTGGTTTGCTATGTTTTATAAAGGAAAAAAGAAATATTGTTAAATATATTTGCTTATATGTAAAACATTTCATTTTTATTGCCATGACAATAATTTCTGAGAAGAGTGCTTTGATTGAGAAGAGTGCTTTCACCACTTCCAAAACATGAAGTGTTTTTTCTTAAATAGATGTTTCCAATGCCTTATTCTTCTTCTCCATGTGCTCCTTTGCTGCCTCGTCCTCTGAAGCACGAATTTGCCCCCGGAGGCCACGAATCCGTGTCCGACTCGAATCGGACACGGATTCGTCACGACACGTGCATGACACGTGTTGGACACGGTCATCCGTGTCCGACACGGGTCAACGGTCAAATTAGGCTCGGACACGGTCAAAGGAGCTCGGACACGGCTCGGATTCGTCGAAGGCCGATTCATTCGGGTTGCGGGTTTGGTTGTTAAAATCCAACCCGAACCGTTCGATTGAAAAACCAATCCCTATTTCTCAAATCTCCCGTTCGATTCGATCCTCAGCTGACTCAAACGAAAGAAAATAAGAAAAAATCCTAACCGTAACCCTAATCCTCTCTCTCAATCTCTCAGCTTCCACTTCATCTTGAGGTACTTTTTGTTTACAAACTTGTTATTTTGTGATAGATTCATATTTTAGATTGTTAGTTGAATTTTATAAATTTTTCTATATATAATAATTTTTATTAAATCCTTGTCGTATCCCCGTATCCTATTTTTTTGGATTTTACCGTATCCCGTATCCGTGTCTGTGTCGTATCCGTGTCCCGTATCCGTATCCGTGCATCATAGGCCTCGTCCTCTTCATCTACCACCTCCGACCTCCATATAATTACAAAAGGAAAATCGTCTGGGCAGAGCCTAGTGCTTTCTGTAGCATTGATTAATTGTTTTTGAGTGAATGAGTTCCTTTTTACCGTATTCTAAATTTTCATAAATGAGCTCTTAGTTATGTTGGTCTGGAGACCTCGTAATCCCTTTCTCCACCCTCAATCCAAATCCTTCTCCCAGATCAAACTTGGAGAAAGCCCACCGGCTCTTGTAAAGCAGGTGATGTTGATCCGCGTAACCAGGTTACAGGTTTCCAGAAATGTACTTGCACTGACTGACTTTTGCTATGTCAATTGTGATAAGTTTTCTTTGTTTAGTAAACTACTGCTTTTTCACTCAGCCTCTTCAGGACAGAATTTCTGCAAATCGCTATATACCAAAAATCTTTGCAGTACCTTATCAAATTGTAGATTCAATTCTGTGCATTTTATTAACAACTACAACTGCCTCAACTTCTTCTTTATCTTTTTTACTTCATCTTATAGAAAACTAGGTCTATTCAACTCCCTTCGCTCTTCTAACTGTGCCTTTACTTCTTTGGTCACATCAGTAAGATTCCCAGATTTGTTTTCTCTGTTATTTCGATACCAGATTTTTCGAATTCTGATTATATTCTTAGAAAAGGGAAACTATGAAAAGTGTGACATATAAACATATAATAATAGAGCGGGAAAAAAGCGATGGAATGCTAAAAAGGATGTCGAACTTTTTTATCCCCATATATCGTCTCCTGTCTTCTTGTTCCGTTTCATTATCCTTTTTTATTATTCTAATCCAACATTTTCATACTATTTTGATTCTTATTATCACCATAATCTTTTCCGTGATGGGGTACCAATACATCCTTTTCAAAAGATCAGTATGTCCTGCCTTGTCCTTGGAGGTTGAAGATCCATATGGGTTAGCTGCTAGGATGATTTGGAAGAATTATTTTCTCATGTGATACGACAAGTCCCGACAAACAAGCAAGGTTTTAAATATCAGTTATCGGGGATTTATCGGACAACCAAAATCCTTATCGAATAGCGGAAATCGGGGATATATCGGGGATAAGTAGTATTTATCGGAGTGATATACCGGATGGTGTATATATATAATATAATAACTAAAAATATAATCTAACCATGCTTAACGAAATATAAACATACCAAAATGTAAATCATCATGTTTAGAATCACTAACTAATTGTAGAAAGCGAGTTGGGTCGGGTTTAAAAACTCAACAATCCAACTCAAAATGCCCGACCAATAATCCTGATAATTAAGCCTTACTTATCGACCGATAAGTGCCGATAACTCGCCGATATACTCTCCAAAACGATAACCGATTACAAAACCAACTTATCCTAGCGGAGAGCTCTCAAATCCGATAACTCGGCCGATAATATTGATTATCGGCCGATATTTAAAACAATGCAAACAAGCAGATACATCCTTACGCTGAGGATTGACTAAATGTATAATCCAGGTTTTGTCGTCGAGAATATTCTTACACTCTCATGGACGCGTATGATAATATTTCTTGAGATCGATATCCTTATTATTTGGTGACATACTTTCATTTAAAAGAAGCTGTTATGATCTAGTACTACTGCCTATAGGCCTTCATTTATCATGGGGATGCTATGATCTATAAACATCCTGGCCCTGCTATCCTTTGAGGTGACATCAATATTTTTTCAACAGAGCTCATATTTGAGTGATCATGAGATTTATCATGACCAAAATCAAGATTTATACTAGCAAGAACTGATTTAGGAATACAAGCAAGAACTGATACCTAAATCATACGTAGAGGTTGAGATAATGATGTACAGAGTCATTGGATTCGAGCCTGAGTCAGAGCCTTGGCCCAATTTAGATTTCTCAGCCCAAGATTGTATCCCTGAGACATCTTGCCCATCCCAATCGAAGTTAACCCCAAGCTGAGCGAGTTAAGCAATGTAGTTCTGATAGCTGCTATCCATGCCTAGTTTGTGCTACCAGCTTATATAACTTGTTATCTCTAGTATGGTAATTTTCAGCTTGGTATCACCCCAAAAATTGACTACAATGTTGTTTCTTTTAACACATGATTTTGTTATTTTTAAAGAAACTCCATTTGCTTCCTATGAAATAGTTTGTTCCATTATGTGGGTTTGTTTTATGCTTCTGCACAACCATCTTGAATTATCATTTCAAAGTTCTACATGTTGCTCCTTTTCAAAATTTGAGGTCAAATCTTCTTTGACCAAGATGCTTGATCTTACATATTGGATGAGCTTCGAAGTTAACATCAGTTAATCAGTATAAAGGCACGTTTGGCAACTTGGCTTACATTCCATTTGGCTTATAATCCACAAATGAATTAAAAGCCAAATAGATTATAAGCCAAAATGTTTGGTAAAATAAATGGATTATAAGCTACATTCAGTAGGAGAGTGTTTGACAAATGGGTGCATTATAACCCATCATTATTGTTAAAATGACCAAAAAGGACATAGGTTTTGGAATTATCTTAAATAGTAAGGGGAAGTCGGTCAATATACTTGGTCAAACAACCCAGCTTATAAGCCACCAATATAATAAGCTGGTTTGGGGCAGCTTAATTTTTTGGCTTATAAGAAAATCTAAGCCGGTTGGCAAACATATTTCAGTGGCTTATAAGCCATAAAAGTGGCTTATAAGCCTTTTTTGGTTTATAAGCCATGTTGACCATTTCCCAGACATGCTACATAACTTATGTTGAACCACAATCAATTAACTCTGTTAGTCATCTAGTCTAATCTCATCATTATCTTATGATTAGGATTATGCTTATGTTAGTTATCATCTTATATTTGTGTATCACAGTATAGTTGGGTACTTGAGTGTTGAGATTTGATTTGATTAGTTTTTACGTTACAGTTTGAGTTTCTTAAGAAGGAAGTGGTATAACATTGCTGAATTGATATAATTAATTTTTTTAAGAAACAAATTTTTTTCACTATTGTGAAGAGATTTATTGTCGTCAGTGTGATTCCCTATTTTTCTTCTCTTCTTGTTTTCCCCAAGTCTTTCATTTATTAATCCCCCATGTCTAACCTCTAGCTTACATATTGATCTTAGTTATCACTGAAATTTCTGTGATACCCTCTCTCAGTCTGCTGTGAAAGCGTAAAGCTAGTGCTATGATTATTTGCTTGTTCAAGTTTTGCTACAAGGTGTTTAGGATTGGTGTGCGCTTTACACATATGCTTCTGAATTTATTTACTATTTGGTGTCGCTGTTGATATTATTCTCGTCTATTTTTTGTCATTTCATGAAAACCAGTAAATTATTAATCCTCCGAGTAGCTTTGCTAAAAGCTTCAATGTATTTTCTTTTTTTTTATTTTTTATCTTTTTGTAATTTCGGCATGAGGATAGGGATGTATTTCGGCTTCAATATTTTTCAGAATAGGAAAACAAAAACTAAATGCTGTCAAATGAATATATAGCATGATAGGCTGACCATATCAATTCTATCTGATCGTACACGTTATATTTGTGTAGTTGTGATTTTGTTATGATCTTCTTAGTGTTGCTGATTGTAATTTTCTATCAGGATTACGTGGGAAATAAACGTTTGGAGTTATCTGGGCAGCTTATGTCGCTGCTTTTTGAGGTAATTTCATAGTCAGGCATGAAACTCATGTTTCTTAAATTTGAACATGATCATATGTGATTGTATTAACTGGAAACTGTTTTTTTAGGATTTATTCAAAACAATGAACACACATGCTTTAGAACATGTGAACAGCGCGTATTCAAAGTCTAATAGCGCAATGCTGGATTTTACTTCTGTAAGTCACAGAGAAGTTCTCCTACTAAAATTATTAATTTAGTTCTTTCTTTTGAAGTTTAATGTTTTTAATTCTTTAAAGTTGTCAGTGTATTTCATAGCGTTACTTATAAATTTTATGTCAAGAGGTTCAAAGAGATGATAATTCGGTATAATATTCTCCTTGCTAATGGAATAGATAACTAAGCTTTTCTGCCACTAAGTGCGGGATATTTGGTTAAGGTATGCATATACCTGACCTGATTTGAGTTAGTTCATTATGAAGGCTTAGGTGTTCTCTTTTGTCTTTCTAATTCTACCATTCTTTTCCCCACTCCATGTTCTCCACTCTTCGGTTCTGGGAATGTGCACACTGCGGTAGTCCTACTTAGCCAACATCACAACCTTTCTGATGTTTTCTCTACCAATCAGATCAGCAGTAAATTTTCCCTGAAATTTGAGTTTTTAGCTATGGGTCACAGAGAAGCAGGCGAAAATCTGTAAGACTAAGGTGAGGTACTAGGACTTGCCTTTATCTGTCTACAGGTTTGAGCTCATGCAGAATGTGGTCAAGGAACATAAGTTTGATAGATGAGGAAATACAGATGAAATGATTTTCTCTTAGCATGATAAACAAAGCCAAGTTGATACAATTTCATATAGCAAAAGGAAAGGGCTAAATTACCAGATTGGTATTATTGTATTAAAGCAGAATCTAATGACCATATTGGTATTAAAATTACCTCCAATGACAACAAGGTACTTATACTTGCACGATGAGACAAATGAGCCAAAATTAAATTTTCCGGCAATTTTTTTGCCAACCACTCACGTGATCTATCACTTGATGCTTAGTTGACATAATTATGATGACTTGGCAACAATAGTTAGCTTCATTCAATCCGTTAGGAAGGACTCTCAATTTAGGGCACAAAAATAGAGGGATTTTCAATTTGGAGCTTCTTCTCCTTCTTTTAAACTGGAGGTTCTCCATTGTTGGAGAACATGGATTCTTCAAGCTTAAGCAATGGGAAAACCTCCAAATTGAAAGAAGAAAGAGAAGAATTCCAAATTAGAAACCCCTCTTTTCTTTTGCCCTAATTTGAAGATCCCATTTCTAACAGATCGAATGAGGCTAACTATAGCTAGCAAGTCATCATCAATATGTCACCTAAGCATGAAGTGACAGATCACATGAGTGGTGACCGGAAAAATGGCCAGAAAATATTTTTGGGCCTATTTATCGCATCATGCAAATTTATATACTTCGTTGTCGTCGGAAGTAATTTTAATACTAATTTGGTCTTTAGGTTCTACTTTTATTACCAATCTGGTAATTTAGCCAAAAGGAAAGCTTTAATTTATGATCAATCACATGAATCCTCATTTTCTATTCGAATATAACCTGTTCCATGATTTTATTTAAATTTAAAGTAAACTTTTTTTTATTGCATCTGATTCATGTGTCTTTTTCATCCTCTTAGGGTAGCTTTGGTTCTATTTGTGTCTATGAAACCTAGCACTAGAATATGCAGTAATTTGTATCCATTTTACATCTAGAAGTTCTAAATGGTGGATATCAAAGTTATGGTGATTTGGACTTTGGAGTCCCGTGCTGATTAGTTGGTATGACATATCAGTTTAAATAGTATGACATACCATTTTAAATAAAATGCCCAACATATGTAATAGTTAATTATGTGCATCCCTCTATTATTCCATGTGAATAAACTTACCCTTCCAACCTGCAACGTGGTTGGCTTTTGTCATGGATAATTCATAGTGACCATACTATTTATCTTGATCTATACCGTGTGAAATGACCATCATTCCCCACTGTTTGCTTTTTTATGTCGTATTTTTCTCCAATTGGTTGATGCTTCTATTTTTATTCTGGTCGAAGTTCTAATCTTTATTTCAGCTTTTTTAGATTTAGGCTAAGCCCCAAACCTCTTTAGTTATTGAAAACGCTTCAACATTAAGAGTATAGTGGTGCTTACAAAAGTTCTCATCCTTATTTTTGGTGATGTCAGGCTATAAGCTTCAATTCGACTTATGTCTTGATTAGAAAATGAGCCTTTATGCATCGCATACTTACCTATTTAAGTAGGACGCATGTTACTGGTGGGTATGCAGGGTGCTCTTGTGTTGAAGGTTAATCCCACAGCATTAACTGACTTCAGCAAGCTGACATCAAGGATTTGCATTGACAATTGTATGAAGTCATGAGGCAAGTGCAAATTTTATTATCATTAACATCAAGTTCTGAATCCATCCATCCTAGCCTAAGTTGCACGGGTACAGGACACGACATATTTGTAAAAGGTTGGGGTATAAGGACACAACTAAGACTCACGGTATATAATCATAGTTCTCAGCTATATATGTAAACAGCCCTTTTAAATTGTAATTCTCAAGGCTGAAACTAGGGGTAGAAACGAACCGAATAAACTCAACTATCATCATGTCTGAATTCGAATTTGGTTTGATTTCCTATACTCAAATCTGAATTCGGATTTGTCCTTATTGCCAAAGTGGGATTCAAGTTCGAGTTAATTACCTTTTTGTTTATTCGCTAAATATTTATGAAGCTAAATATTTATGAAGCTGGTGTGCGTTGGTGTGACACCCCTGTTTTCACACATGATTGCAGTCCAAGGTGAACTCAGAGATGTCAAACCTGCCATGCACCCACACTGTGCAACAACACGTTTTACTATCACAGTAATACCTCTCTAGTGGAATCAACAAGTGTAGGTACAAAACATGCAAAATAAGGGAAATAAATGCATTAGACATGATGTAGAAAGAGATATCTAATGAACATAATCATGTCACAACTGAATAAACTGAATACAACTGAAGTTCGAAATAAATGTGAAGTATCTCAATATGAGTCAACTGAAAATAAACTAAAGCACACAACCTTTACATGATGAAATACAAAACTCTAAATGTTCGAAAGAAAATATTAATTATGGTAGAGTCTCATCTACTAAAAACATGTGACAACGACTATGCTGGAAGTCCGTCATCCTGCGGCTCTTCGGAACTCTGAGCTGCTACCTGAAAGGAATTAAAAAATAAAAAAAGAAACAACAAGAGCGTCAGAGCGTTATAGCAAAGATCATCTCCATCCGCCCCCAGGCGAAAGACTACTAGATGTGATAGATGCTCTATCTATTAAGGATAGTCTACCTAGATCATTTACCCTGTATCTAAAATGAATTAATATATAGAAACTTACAACACGAGACGTAGTATGTCGAGCGAAATAATCCAAATAAGGAAACCCTCGTGTATATACCATATGTTTCAAATTATAGATAACTAAATATCAATACTGAACTAAGAATAAACAATCTAAATAGAATTAATAATTAGAAACTCACAACACGAAATTAGTACGTCGAGCGAAATAATCTAAATAAGAAAACCCTCATGTATATACCATATGTCTTAAATCGTGAATCGCTAATTATCAATTCCAAACTAGGAATAAAGGAAAGCAATGCAAAGAAGTAAAGTCATCACAAATATCGGACCAAAAATAACTTCCACTACTCTTTGGAAGATAATGTAAACAACTACATATAATCCCGCGTACTTACAAGAGTAAAGTACCTCGGTCATATATAACTCAGCGATGAGTCATGTTCATAATGACGTCCACCAAGACTTAGGCTATCAGATAATTATCACAATGCAAATCTTTACAAAGTTTATAGTTCATCGCATTATCATGCGGGACGGACTACCAAATTGGTATCCTAAAAGTGTACACGGCTCATTAGTCTCTTCGCATCAACATGTGGGACGGACTATCAAATCAGGTATCCTAGGTATACGGCTCACAAGCCTCATCGTATTTATGTGCGGGACGGACTACTAGATCAAGCATCCTCAAACCCGACTCAATGGCCTGCACTAATGGTATATTAGCGCACTATCCTAAGTAGTACTGAGCGGTACTCATCAATGATACCCATACATGTATATAATGTTTAAATAACTCATATCTCCCGTGTAATCAAAATAATAATTGTATTAATCCTCTTTGAGATATCCATGTGTGTGCTACGACACTATACGTGTGTACTCATGATTGTGCGTGTATTATCGTGCGCCTTGAACCCCGCATTCGAAAACAAAATGTGTAAAAACAACACTTCAAACAAAAGAGAACACATGTCGATCAACCATCCTTAGGGCGTTGGTTGACCGAAAGCAACCGTGCACACAATGTGTACGCTCAGGGCCCCGCCAATCGACCGACTATTCTTGGTCGGTCGACCGGCCAGAGAGAAAAACACAAGTTCATGTTTTTGATGTTTTGTATTTTGTAACTTTATTTAATTTTTTTTTTATCACATGATGCATATAACAAGATTAAATCTTTCATAATTACTTAACAGAAATTAACTCATCATGATATAAACACTTGAATTAAACTAATTTGGATTTAACATCCTAATTAATCAAACTTTCTCAAATAACCTAATATATAAATATGGTTAAGTAAACATGATAAATTCTAAACATTAAACAGAGATAAACTCACTTAAACATGCTCACATCACTTAGATATCATCAACCTAGGGTTTAGACCTCTTTAATTAGCAAGAAAACTCAAATAATTATTAAACTAGGGTTTAAACATGATTTAAGCATGATTAACAAGTTAAAAATGAAATTAAATACAACCCTAATGATCATGATCATCAAACTAATAAAAACAACTAAAACTACAGATTTTCATATTGATTTAAAGATTAACATCATAAACTAATATTTTAAAACATCGGGTTAAGCTTAAACATGAGATTCATCAATTAAACATATTAAATATTGAATTAACTACAAGGAAAGGTTTGGATGAAGATGATCTTGCCTCAAACATCGTGTTGAACTCCTGAACAAGTGCGTGCAAGATCCCTCTTCACCAAAGTCGCAAAATTCAGCCTTCCTCTCGACAAACGCCTCAAGAACTCTCCTAAATCTCACAAATTATGATTAGGATTTGAGGGTGAGGAAGAGGGGCTGCTAGGGTTTGTAATACTGATGAAAAGATGTGTTTTTTGTGTGTAAACATGTATATATATTGCTGCAAACCCGAATCAAAACAACTCAAACCCGAAACAGGAAACCCAGTTAGACTGGAAAAATAGTCTTCGGTATTTTGGCTGTAACTTTCACGTTCGACCTCGGAATGAGATGATTTAAGATGTATTGGAAAGCTATTGAAGATATCTACAACTTTTGACTTTTGAGTTTTTTCAGATTCGAATTATATCAGTGTAATGCAGATATACTCTTAACTGGTTGTTTTTTCAGATTTCTTCTTTGTGCATGTTTAACCTTCGTATACTCTCATATATACTCTTAATTGATCTCAAATCAATTGTTAGCATAATCATGCATGTTTAACCTTCGTATACTCTCATATATACTCTTAATTGATCTCAAATCAATTGTTAGCATAATCATTCATCCATAAATGATCTCATATATACTCTTAATTGATCTCAAATCAATTGTTAGCATAATCATTCATCCATAAATGATATTCACATCATAATTAGAGCTCATTTATCAATATAATTCATACTATTTTCTAAAATTCACGGGGTTTTACAATTGGGAGCTCCTAACCAAAAGTTTTTAGGTTCGAATACTCCATCGGCCACTCTTTCTTTTCTTCATATTTTACCTTGGGTTCTTGTGAAATAAAAATCTCCACATTGCATAGCTATCACTAACTGAGGTTTGGAGGCGTAAAGAAATAGGAGGAGACTCTAGGGCCTGTTATTTCTACAAGGGTAATATTTGTAAAAAAAATTGGATGTGTAATGTTTGCAGTAAGTTTAATTAATAGGAACAAAGTGTAATTTTTTTTCGAATAGTTATTAATCAACTGAATCGAATATACCTTTGATTAAATTCTATTCGTTTATAAAACTTATTCATTTTGTATTAAATGAATGATCGAATCGAATTTGACCGAATATCTAGACGAATAATGACCAGATTGTTTATTAATGGAGTTTTTTCCTCAAAAGAGCCTATTTTTGCTAAATAATTAGCAAAACCAATTGTTTTGCTAATTATTTAGCAAAACTGAGCTCTTTTGGTCCCGTATGTTTAGTGGCCCTTAATTAACCACTAAATCATCTCAGAAAACCCACGAGACTACTAGTACCGTGGGTTTTCCTACGGCCATCCAAAATGCATGGGACTACTAGTCCCGTGCGTTAAGCAGAGACTTCGCTACGACTTGGCGAAATTCGCTCAGCAAATCCTTGGAACTACTAGTCTCGTGGATTTGTTGGGCAGCCCCAAACATGCACAAAACATGCACGGGGCTATATCGCTTCATATATATTGTTTGGCGGACTTGTATGGGCTACAAAAATATAACATCCACTTATAATAATTGGGTAAAAAGATAATATTTACTTATAAATTTTAAGAAATAAACACTGGATAAAAACACATTTAATGAATCCACAACATCACGACACAATAGCTACGTCATACGTATCCATACGACAAAATATTCCAACCAAATTCAAATATATCAAGTCTATGATGTCTATCCATACGATAAATTTAGACTAAGCAAAAAAACTAATAATCTATCACATGGAACCTAAAATTTCATCCATTCCCTGTTGTCTTCCTCTTCGTACTTGCTCCAATCGTCGGCGTCCTCCTTCGATTTGAGCTTGTACGTGCTCGCACTTCGGTTGTGTGTGGGGCTGTGACGGACCAATTTGCTGTGACGGACTAGCTTCCTTGTCTTGCGAGCAAGATTCACCTTGCCTTCGTCGGTGCACATATGCCCTCTCCTCTCGTGCCATTTGCTTGTGACCATCATGTCGATCCTCATGAGTTCGATGAAGAGCTTTACGAACCCTCCCCACTATCTGATGCAATACCGATACATGGACTGAATCTTCTCTGGCAGTAGCTATGCCTTCATTTGCAATCTCCTCTATCTCATCCATAGCGTCTATCTGCAATCATGTAAAAAGATAATCTTATATAAATAAGCAACCAAAAGCTAATGGATTAAAAAAACTAATTAAATTTACGCATTTTACTTACCCATTCTCTTTCATTTATACCCCTTGGTACGTTTCTTGCTTGTTGGGAATGTATCTCAATTTCGTTGACTGGCGGCGTGGTTTGAGTGGTTATCCATCTTTTGGTAACCCCCTGATACCATCTTATATAATCTATTTGCTCCATCGGAGGATAAATCTGCTCGACGATGCTCAAATGCCTATCATTCCATCTAGTAATGTACAGATTATGCACAAGTCGCCAGTCAATTTGATGCCCACCCTTGGACGCCTTTCTTTCTATTCTTTATACAAATTGTGGAGCGTGTTGTGCGAAACCAAACTACTTAAGCACGCAATCTGTCACGTGTATCTCCATAACTTTAAAGCAAACGAGAGGGACTCTGGTTCTCCATATACCATGTCCCTCCATGCAAATCAGTGGTAGACGAGGTGGAAAAGCTCCGTATGACTGCCACTCGAACTACAAAATATAAATTATTATTAGTAACTAGCTTAAATTGACTTAAATTTAAAAAATTTGATACTTAATAAATTTTCATCCGGTCGAGCTCTCCTCTATAAAAATGTCTTGCCGGGGCCTCATCATATGTTTTAGTGACGTTCCACCTGCGTGTATGATAGAAGGTTAGATTCTAATTCCAAATTTAAAATTTAAAAGTAATATTATTAATTAGATTCGAAATTGTTTACCTGCTGCCAAGTGGAATCTGTCCATCTAAGACTCGCGTCTAGCATAATCTTGGTCTCAAGACCAATCTCTCACATGCCCAAACTTGTAACAATGTCAAGCATCCCTTGAGCTCTTTATTTTGCATAAAAGCAGCCTTCGACATTTCCCTATATAGGTATGCTAAAACATCACTACCCCATGATAATGTCCTGCACATGTCAAAGTCTCGGAGAAGCGTTAACCACCTATCACATGTGAAATGCATTTAGTCGTATTTTATGAATAATGAGTAAAAATCTAGCAAAAATTATCAATATAATCCATTATATGAATTACAAATTGTCTTACCTCAAATATACTTTATGTTTACTTGAATTGGAAAAAAGAAACATCCCGATAATATGCAAAATATATGCACATGTATGTTGCTGGATCATGATCTGGGATGCATCTTCTGGCAAGGGGTTTGCGAAATTTAGGTTTGGAGAATAATTTTGGATAGAATGGGTTTGGTGAGAATAAGAGAGAGAATTGAGAGAGAAAGAGGTGTTTTGGAGAGAATAAAGGGAATGATGTTAGGGTTATTGAGGAAGAGAGATTGAGAGGGAGAGATTGGGTGAGGGTGGGTGAAAATCAGGGTAGAAGCTGCTGGGAGATCGGGGTAAAATTCGATCGGCGAAGAGGTGGAAGCTGTGCCCTAATTGTTGGGCACAACAGGGCATTTATAAGCCCGACAAATCCACGGGACTAGTAGTGCTGTGGATTTGCTGGGTGGACTTCGTCAAGTGGTGGCGAAGTCTTTGCTTAACGCACGAGACTAGTATGATATATCCAAGAACTGTATGATGGGTGTTTTAAATTGAACATGCATTGTATAGTTGAGTACAAGTCTGAATAAATATATGCATATATTTAAGAAGTGTCTAAGAATTGTCAGGTACGTATACGGGAACGGGTATATGGGTACGACTATATATTAGAAGTACCGAGGTAACACAGACCCCAGCCATCAACTACAGTTTGTTCATTAATGATGATAGTGATAGTTCTCATGTGATTAATGAAATTTGGATGGTGACTCTGCTCTATTGTAACTAAAGTGCTCTTCGTCCAACTTTATCATCAACTGTACTATTGTAATTTTTTTCTTTTGTTCCTCTTGCTATATGATAAGTTGATACTTTTACAGCCCGTATGCTTGTCTAATAATTTTCATACTAGTGCATGTTCCTGTGGACCTGTGCACATGAACTATGAAGATTATGCAAATCTTCACTTTTGAATTGTGGGATGTTCCAACTATGTTATTTTTGTCAGTTGTTTGTAATTTATTGTTATCGTGATTGTTTGTAAACTCTTTCTAGATGACAAATTCTAGCCATGATAGCAGCCTTAACTAATATAAGTGACCGCATTCGGTTATTACTTTTTATTGTATGTTAAATCACCGTCATTTTTATGATCAAATATTTTAATATTTTACGTATCATCTTGTTTGACAGCTGTTTTCTGTGCCGTATTTTCGAAGTTCTTCGTTAATATAATCTTTTTGCAGGTTCTACAAAGGTTTTCACCCATCACACAGGGATTAGAAAGAGCGATTTCTACTGGGAATTGGGATTTGAAACGATTCAAAATGCATCGTAAGGGTGTCTCACAGGTAATTTTTAGTTTTTAACCTTAGTTTTTTTAATGACACTCATTTAAACATTCTGATTATTTAACTGTTCTTCATAGGGTCTGTGTAGGCTTTCCTTTATTGCTGCTTTGGGCCACATGACACGCATATCTCCGCAATTTGAGAAAACTAGAAAAGTTAGTGGTCCGAGAGCTTTGCAACCAAGTCAGGTGAGTGCCAGTTGCTTATATGGTGTTGGTACACCCATTGTTTTTGTAAGAAAAGAAAAGATAATGGCTGTAACCTAGTATCCTTCTGTAACAGTGGGGCATGCTTTGCCCGTGTGACACTCCAGAAGGGGAAGCATGTGGTTTAACAAAAAATCTTGCTTTAATGACTCATGTTACAACTGATGAAGAAGAGGGCCCAATTATATCCGTGGTATTTTCTTTTCTTCGAGATATTATTCTTGTCAAGATGTCTTTAACATGCTCGAAGTTAACTTTCTCATTACTGAAGGACTGCATGCTTTGTTTCTTGAACTTTTCTTTTAGGGGGTTGGGGGCCGTTGGCATGAAAATATTTCTTTCATGTTCAATTGTTTGTCTCTAGAGTAAACAATGTTCTGCCTCCCAGTGCCAGCTTTAATCTCAGAAATTTGCTAGCGCTAAAAGAACAATTTTGTGTGCTAACTCTGTGTTTATATTGCATGATGAAAGGAAGAGTGGGTTTGAAGGTTCAGAACCTCATTATTAAAGTTGAAAGGATGTAATAGACTCTAAAGTCCCCATCTACTACAGGGAAAAATCATTTTTCCAATCATTCACTTTCAGCAATTTGATTCTACTATCATTTTCATTTGATTGACTGCGGTTTATAATTAGTTTGCTTATCACTTTCTCTCTGTTTTGATCTTACACTTACAAATGAGATTTGGGTCATTGGATGTGGGTTGGATTATTTATTTGCAATTTCTCAGTTCAGTTCTATATCATTATCTTTTAATATCTTCAGTTTATTGTTATTTTTCTTATGATTTTCAATTGTGTACTTCAAACTTTCGAATGTATCATGACATCTCATTACCTTTGAGTTTCTCATAAAATGTACTAAATTTAGTACTTAATGTGAATTTTAAAAATAATGATCTTGTAGCTCTGCATTTTATTTAGCTTTTCAAAGCTTGTTATATTCTTTTGGGACCAGTCATTGCATGGTCCACCCTGAAAATACCAATACATCTAAGTAAGTGAATCGATTTCTAAACTTATCATTCTTATTTCTGCTAAACTTGATATTCCTAAATTATCTTAGCTCACAGGTTTCATATGAACAAAGTATTGGAAAATCCCATGTTGTTTGGAATAATGTAACTTGATTTTCCTAAAAGTAATCCTGGTTTTATTCTTTTTAACTGAGGCAGAAATCTCAATTTTGGAATTATGTAGCATGCAATACTGTTCAGTCTGTTTGAAGTTGATCGTAAGTATTTATGATATGTGTATCGACTTTCGGCTTTGGATAGACATACTATGGTATCAAATTCATGAACAATTATTATTACTGCTTACAGAAAATTCAAGCTTGTTGATTAATGAAACGATTAGGGTGATCTGCACTTAAAGATATCTTTCTATATCGTATTGAAAGTGTAAAAATTTTGTATATATAATGGACTTTTTACCATGGCCATTATAGTGTCAGAGCTTGGGTGTTCAAGATTTGGCGTCTCTTTCTGGCGAGGAGATTCATTCACCAACATCGTTTTTGGTAATTTTCAATGGTCTCATACTAGGAAAGCACAAAGACCCTAAGGTATGCAATTTGTAGTAAAGTTCATATTACATAGAAACCTATGATTGTTCGCTGCTTTTCTATTCTGTTTTGTAACAGTTGGTTGTTACCTTTGTAGCGGTTTGCGAATGCCATGAGAAAGTTGCGCAGGAAAGGGAAACTTGGGGAATTTGTGAGCATTTTTGTAAATGATCAGCAGGTATATTAGTTTTCATTTAATATTAATCTCACAGGAGGATATATTTTCTGCTAGGTTAAGTCTAATGCAGATTATTGTTACTAGGCTAGATTTGACAAAACCCTTCGTACTTTGGGTCGTATCCCATAATACCGCCTAGAACTTTTGTTTTCTCATTTAACACTCAAAGTTAGACGGAGAGTGGAGGTTTTTTTTTATTGCAAACTGTCTAATATGAGGTTTTTTGCTAAAAATAATTAAAAAAATCAAAAATGATTTATCTGATGCTGAGGGCATTTTCATCATGTGGAATTAAGTGGGATTTTTTTTAAAGTGGAAAAAACAAAGTTCTTGGGGGTGTTGTGGGCAGTGTTTTAAATGTCGGGTGACATGTCCGATAGATTTAGGTGCCGATCGACACGATATGGAGCTTTTCAATGCGTATTGTATTTTCAAGGTTCATGTCAGATATATCAGGGGACATGTCGGATATGTCGGGCGAATATATCGGGAGACGTGCAATTATGTTTGCCGATTTTTCAGTCTGAAAAATTAGCTGATTTTTTTGTTCTTTTGGTTATGTTTATCTTATCAGGTTTGAGTTCAAATTCTTAATTATCTTAGTATAGCTTCCAAAGACAAAACCCGATCAGTAAGGGGAAATGAAAAAAAAGAACGAAGTCATTTCCGTCGCTCATCTTCTCTCTCCTTCGACATCTGATTGGTCTTTTATTCGAGCTGTTTCTTCGAAGTCAATAGCGAGTGATCTTCTCTTTCCTTAACCATCAACATCGGATTCCTCTTTTTTCACTTCTTTCCTTCAACATCAACCCTAAGTAGCATAAGTTATTTACTTTTTTATATATTTAAACAATAGAATTTATTAAGTATGTTTAGATTTTATTTATGATATTTATATTACATATATGCACACCATTCGATATGGAAATCCGATATGTTTTTTATGTTCCCCGACATATCTCCGATTTTCGCTATCTGACATGAATATTAGCCATTCGACGTGAACTGACATCCGACATTTAAAACCTTGGTTGTGGGAAACACATCACAATATTGGTTTTTTTTTAAATTAACCCTTATTACTACTATTATTATTTTGCTTCACAATGTTTTGCAATATTGTGTGACCTAGTTCCTTAGTTCAATGATATCTATTATATGTTTATATCATTTCGGCCATGTTTGGATTTCCGAGTTCAATGATATCTGTCATATGTTTATAACAAGGTTTTAAATATCGGTTATCAGGGATTTATCAGACGGTTAAAATCTATATCAGATAGCAGATATCAGGGATATATCAGGGATAAGTAGTATTTATCGGTAGTATTTATCGGAGTGACATTACCGGATGGTGATATACATCATATAATATTCTAAAATGTAATCTAACCCTACTTAATGAAATATACACATACCAAAATGTAAATAATTATGTTTAGGATCACTAACCAATGGTAGAAACTCGGGTCGGGTTGGGTTCAAAGTGCATTGAATAGGTGCCTATTGCCCAAAATCTAAACTCAAGCCAAAGGTCAATAATTCCAATTTTAGGCTGACAATATTGGCCGATAACTCACTTTATCGCGGCATTATCGACAATAAACATCCAAAAACAATAACCGATTTAGAATCAAACTTATCATAGCGGAAGGCCCTCAAAACCTATAAATCGCTGATAATATTGTTTTATTCAGCCGATATTTAAAAGTTAAAACATTGGTTTATAACATTTCGGCCATGTTTGGATTGGATATTTTTTGATTAGGTATATCCATTAAAAGCATTTGGTTCAAATTTCAAGGCAGATTAGGCTGGACTATTTAGTCCATCAAAATCAAATCTGGAGATTTCAGACTGAACGAAAGGAGGGGGACAGGGTGTTATTATAGTCCATTGACTATTTTCCACATGGGATTAAACTAAATTTTTTCCCCTTGACCTTTTAACTTTCTTCAAAATTATATACATTTTTCTTTTTTAATTATTTCCCTCACCACTTCTGTTATTGTCATCTATCAGAAATAAATAAATAAATAAATAAAGGGATCGGATGAGCATTTCCCATCGGAAAAGCAAAAATGCTCTATTGTTGCAAACAACCTTCATAATTGGAGGAAAAAGGATCTGAAGTATTCCTTAACCTCTTACAAAACGATGACGTTGCGCTCGAGGCGAATCAATGCAATACGGTGGCGAATCATGTGCATATGAAACTTTTGTCTCCTATTTCAAGTTATTATAAAAGTTACGTTCTCTTCATGAGAATATCATGGCCGTATAAATGCCTAGTTCATATTTTAGCCTTCAATCTAAGTGTCATTAATTTTTGGCGTACTGTTGGTTTCTTAGGTAATGTAAGAGTGGTTCATTTGTTATGCGAATGTTTGAGTTCTTACGCAGCAACGTATGTTGATTGAGTGGTGGATGCTTAGTATGGATTTCATCTTCATTTCTATGAAAACAATCATTTTTATTGGGGCGAATACTCAATAAGTATCAACAAAAAATTTTCACTGGTTTATAAGTTCAGAACTTTTTTGTTAGAAACAAAACACTTGTTTGCAAACTGTGTCCATTGAATGATAACTTATTTTTTGTTAATTGTTTTACATGTGTAATGTAGTATATCCAAAATACCTTGAAACTCTTATCAAAATTCATTCTGACTGGTAGGTAGAAGGATATTGTGGACAATTGCTATTATATCCTAAACCTATACCGCCTTATAATGACAAATTCCTAAACTTGACATTGGTATTAAAGATGTTAATAACAAATTGAACCAAACTAATTATTCAGAATTTAACTAATTTATGTCTGTTGGATTATAATAACCAATGACTATAGTGAGTTAAATTAGTCCCAGGACAAATCAACTACCCAATCCAAATGTGGCCTTCACGTTTCTTGGCATTTTTATTTACTTATGTACTGTTTGAGTTTGTAACAAATTGGTTCAGAGAGATGAGTCTTGTCAATGTTTGTTCTGATAATAAACAATGCCTTTTTAAAATGCTATGGCAAAATGGAACTGTAAAATCTGCTTATTCAGACTAATAGGGCTTATAGCACTACAAGAAGTCAGGTTTGTGGTGGTTGTCAAAGATTAATTGTAACCAGTTGGACTTGACCCGACCCGTTATTAACGAATATGGGTCAAGTTATATTACGAGTCATATAAACGAACTACTCATTTATTAATTGGGTTAATTCAGTTCAATCCTAAATGACACGTTTATCCTATGCTACATGGGTATTTCTATTTGGACGCCGTATCCCTACCCACCGTGTACCCATACTCGTACATGTATCCAAACTTCTTGGACGCTTCTTGAATATATGTATACTCTAGTTCAACCATATACTCGATTATATACTACATGTTTTAATTTAAAACATTGGTCATACACTTCTTGGATGTGCATACTCTGCACTTCACATTTATTTCTGATATATTATTGATCTCAAGTAAATGAAAAAGAAATATTGATCGTATGTAAATTATTAATTTTAATACATATAGATGTATCTAAAATACATATTTGGATTAACCATACTAGGAACTGTGCCCGTACCCATGCAACTTAGCGTTTAATTGATTTAATGAACCTTGTCGAACAGTAGCACTAAATTTATTGTTGCAATTGATCTTTGGGCTTCTCTCAGGCCTATGGAACTCATGGTCTTCTCGGGCTTACAATTGGCTGAGAATTTCTTGTATTTTCATAAGTTACGCCCATTGGAGCCTTTTCTCTTTGGTTCCTATTAGAAGAAGATATTGCTTCTCTTACATAGTGGTACAGATTTACGTCAAATTTCAGGCGGTTGTCTGAATTTGTTTGTGGGTTCTTGGAATTGTAGTATTATATATTAGGAGGCTTGAAGTTATTAGTTTTACTTATTTTCTGCTTGTTTAGTAATTAGAGTTTTGCTATGGGTAAAACTTTAGTTCCATGTGAGGATGAAGTTTGTTCTTTTCGGTAACAAAGATTTGGTGTTTAGTTACTATATGAGTAGTAGGTGCTTAAGAGCATGTTCGGGAATTTCAGATTGTAATCCACTTATTCATTAAAATTAACAGATTATAATCTATTTTTAATAGTAGAGTGTTTGGCAATGGGTGGATTATAATCCATCATTGTTGTCAAATTGGCTAAAATGGACATGAATCTAAATTTAAGCTTAACGGGTAGGGAAGAAATCGGGGCTTTGAATCTTGTGAAATGATGAAAGGGTGTGTGTGTGGGTGTGTGTGTTATCTGTTATATGATCAAAGCCTTTTGGCTTATAATCCACCGAAAAAAAAAGTTGGCTATCTCAATTTTTTTGGTGGATTATAAGCCAAAATAAGCTACTTGTCAAACATTTCAAAGTGGCTTAAAATTGACTTTTACCGCTTGCCAAACATTCTTTAAGACCAAAGTATGACATTTTTTTCGAGGTTCAATTCCTGTTGAGTAGAATATGGTTCTTAATCTTTTTTATTTGTGTTATCGCTTTTATCCTTTTGGTAAATGCTAATTGGACTGCATCTTATATACTACAAACTTTCGTTATGCACCACTGAAGAGTAATTTGCTGTAGTACTATATTACCTGGGTACTTCTGTTTCAAGCTGTACTGGTACCCGACATATACCTATACCCAAACTTCTTGGCTTATACATATGCATATGTTTCTTCAAGCGTATGCTTAGTTATATACTATAATTTAATACACTCCCTATACACTACATTACACATCTATTTCTAATATATTGATCTCATGTAAATGAAAAACCAATATTGATCTTATGTAAATTGTTAACTTTAATACATATAAATATACATAAAATACATATTTATAGCTGTGTCCCCATATCATACCTTTTACAAATTTTCCATGTCTAGTCCCCGTACCCATGCAACTTAGCTACAACAGATGTGCAACATTTATCATAGCCCAGTGCATTCTAGATGGAACATTTCAAATGTATGCTTACTTGTTTTTGGAAAGTCAACATTTTCATTTTGCAATTCAAATAGGTCATTTGGGTCATTCAGGTCGAGTCTAGTAACCCATTTAATAAACGGGTGAGTTATCATCACACATTTAATCTTGTAAAGCTTATAAAGTTGGCCCAAATTTGACCCGAGCGGACTTGTTTTCCACTCCTAATTGTGCTCCATTGCTTTTGGGATCTTTGCTGTGTGAGGAGTGAGTGTTTAAATAAGGATAGAAACTTTTTCTGTATTCTAGTAAAATTTAGTTGTGGCTCATTGCGGTTTATACTCAATGGTTAAACTTCACCTTTGGCTCATTCAGTGTTATCAATGTGTGAGGCGCAATACGAGACGCAAAGCATCTTTAGGCGCACATGCGTAAGGCGCAACGCGATGCGCGCGCCCGAGTGATGCGAGGCGCACATCGCCCACATAATTTTTCAAAATATATAATCAAGCGCAAAAGAACATGTTTTTAGAATTCACATGAAAAATGTCATGATCTTACTACAAAATCACATTATAATGCGTTAATTTCTAATGCTAACACCCAACGTAGTAGCAAAATTCATAAATTTTCAAATCAAATGTTAAATCAAGACTAATATCCAAGCAAAGCATTAGTAATGGTCATCAATTGAAGGTTACCAAAAAAGCCTAATGGATTTATTTTGCTTTTTGGGATATGAAATATCAAGTATAAAGACTCGATTGAAATGTTAACAAGGATATGAAATATCAAGTATAAAGACTCGATTGAAATGTTAACAAACAAAACTATATGAGGATATGTACTACATGCACCCTGCACAAAGTAAGGATGTACGCGAGGCGTAAAAGACGCTGTATGCATCAAAAGTGGGGCACTTCGCCACCGCCCCGCATCGTAAGCCGCATGAGGCGCTGTGAGGAGCACGCCTTTGAAAACACTGGGCTCATTGATTTTGGTCTTTCATAACTTAATGTGAGAAGAAAGGACAAAATGTAGAAAACTATTTCTGAAATCATGTCAGAATTTATCTATCATTTGCTATGTTGAAAATTATAGAATTCACTAAATACATTCAGATATTGAATGGTGGAAAAAGATTAAGTTATGATGGTATTCTAACAGATCATTGCAACTGAGTTATTCGAGAGATCTAGTGAATTTATGATGCAAGTTATTTAAGTAATACCTCTCTTTTGGCATGCTTCAGCCTGTATGGCAGTCATGCAAAATTGACAAAACCTGGAACTTAGTAATTTAGCATCAATTGTTTGATGCAATATTCTAAGGTTGTAACAGGTTGGAGATATAGTTACTATTAGGTATGCCATAAGTATGAGGATTAGTGTCTGGAAAGTTGTTTCTTTTCACAGAGTATATTTTTGTCTCTTCCCTTATAGTCATCACATATTTAATTATTCTCACCGAATTCCTCCCTCGTGCTTTACATCTTGGATTAGCTTCTTAGAACTTAATGTTTAACACTCTATTTTCTTTTATTGATATTGAAAGCGCTGTGTATATGTTGCGTCTGATGGAGGCCGTGTTTGTCGCCCGCTTGTGATAGCTGATGAGGGGGTTTCAAGAATCAAGGAACATCATATGAAGGAATTGAGGGTCTCTACTTTCTGCAATTCTATTGTTTTGATTATATGCTGCAGACTTACCCTTGTAACTGCAACCTTCATATATCTTCCACAGGATGGAGTTCGCTGTTTTAACGATTTTTTACGTGATGGATTGATTGAGTATCTTGATGTTAACGAAGAGAACAATGCTGTGGTCAGTAAATTTCATCTAGTGATTTTCATCAATAAATGTTATGTTGTGTTGCATATATTTTTAACCTCTACTTCGGTAGATATCATTGTACGAGCATCAGGACAAAGACCTCAATGGAGAAAAGAACGAGGTTGACAGGAAAAGCATAACACATGTGGAGATTGAACCATTTACTATTTTGGGGGTTTGTGCTGGACTGATCCCCTATCCTCATCACAATCAGTCACCTCGTAATACATATCAGGTTTGGCAATTGCTATATGGATTGCTTATCATAGGGAATATACCTTTTCTGCCCAAAGCTAATGTCTTTATACCGGAACAGTGTGCAATGGGAAAACAAGCTATGGGAAACATTGCTTATAATCAGGCAAGTAGCAATTGGATGTATTTTTGTTGAGTTCCGTGACAAGAATAAAGTTTAACTTGTCAGAAGTACTTAATGACTACTTGTTATTTGAATGCCAAACTTTTTTTTTCCCTTTCGCAATACTAATCTTTCTTAAATTTTCCACAGCTTTTCCGAGCTGACAGTCTAATCTACCTACTAGTGTATCCTCAGCGACCTCTTCTAACAACAAAATCAATTGAGCTGGTTCGTGTTTGTGGTTGTATTTGAGGTGCATTGGTACCCAGTAGTGCTAATGCTTCTCTTTCAGGTGGGTTATGATAAGCTTGGAGCAGGACAAAATGCTACTGTTGCTGTGATGAGCTACAGTGGTTATGATATTGAAGATGCAATTGTCATGAACAAGTCATCCCTTGACCGTGGTTTTGGCCGTTGTATAACAATGAAAAAGTATTTTTATCTATTTCTGAAAGCATGTGTTGATTATGTTTCTGTAATTTTTATATGTTCATGATTTTTGTTGGTCTATAACATTTTCTCTTATTTTTATTATTCTTGTGTTTTTTATGTGTTTTCAGATATTCTGTTTTGAAAGAGAAAACTGACAGAATTATTAGACCTCAAAATGAGCAGAACAAGCAGGTAACATTTACTTAGGAATTTAATCATTATAAACTCTCTTATGCGACCTTTTTTTTGCGATTCCAAGGATAGAGTGATGATTGTTAGACATCTAGTATATCAGAAAACTGTATATATCTTTAAAATGCAACATAAAGATTCTGTGTCGAGTATTATCGTGCAGCTACATGACTCCACTTGACTCCATTAAGACTTATATCCTAGGTGAAATTAAAAGATATTGTAATTTCGTGTATGTACTTAATAAAGGTTTCTGTTGGTGTGGATTTTGTCCCATTCAACTGCTAAGCTGCTCCTGGCTTGTGCGTCTATCAATATTCATATCATATGTCCAGTCTGTTTCAAATTGTTCTCTTGTCTACTACCTACTAGAGAATTCCTATTTCCCATAAACACAACCCATCACTTATTAGTTATTCCATGAGATGCGCTAGCTCATAATGAAGGTATTTTAGTGTTATTTGACTTCTACATTTTTACACCCTTCTGATCCTGACATTCTGGTAGTAAATGCATATCAATATCTCTGTAGATTCTGATAAGCTGATTCATTGCTCATTATTGGTTCCTATTGGAAATTGGTTTTTAGATACTTGATGCTGATGGTATAGCTGCACCTGGGGAAATAATTAGAAATCACGATATCTATGTGAATAAACAGAGCCCAAAAAATCCAAGGGATTCCTCAGCGTTGAAGGATCAGTATGTATCTCCTCTTCTTTTCTTCGTAAATCACGTACACTATGGCTTTTGTTTATATCACACCTTTTGGAATTTTCAGGGTCTATGTCGACAGTAATGCTAAATACAAGGGCGTAGAAGGTGAAACTACTGTTGTTGACCGTGTACTATTATGTTCAGATACAGATGACAAGTTATCTATCAAATGTATCATTCGTCATACTCGTAGACCAGAGGTGAGGAATTCTTTAGTTTATTATGAATTATAGTACAAGTTAATATAGGTTTTTTCCTTATGTTCTAGTATTGGTACAGGTGGGTGACAAATTTAGTAGCCGACATGGCCA